AATACTTGATGCCAAAGAGATGATTAAAGTTGTTGAAACTCATAGTTATTGTTGTTGTTTTTTTACAACTGATCTAATCATTTGTAAGATAAAAACAAAGTGAGACGCATTTGTTTGCACTCACTATGTTATACAGCTCCCAGCTGATACAGACACTTCCTGTGTTAATATCATCTTTTGTTAACCACATGCTTCAAAATTCTTCCAAACGAAGACAGAAAACATCCAGCTAGCTCTGCTCTAGTGATCAATATCCTTCTTGCTGCAGAGCATTGACATTTGTTTTTCTCCTTAAACAAAAAAGAAATAGTTAACCCACTCTAAATGAGTGCCATTCTTTTCACAAGAGAGTTGTACAACATTAGCATTATGCTTCTGTTCTACAGCTATTACAAACAACCAGTGTAAAGGTATATTTGTGTTTTTGGACACCACTGCTGAAAGTCATAAAACTAGAAATCACAGATGCAGCAATCAGATTTTAGTTGCCCATCTGCAGTCTTTATAAATGTTTAACCTGCTTGTACGGATTTTAGTTGATTCTTATTTACCTTACCTAAGATGATAATTTACCCTTCCTCTCAGGATTGGTCAATTTTCTTTTTTTGTATGAGAAAAAAAAACTTTTAAGATCACACCCGGACTGTGAAAGACAGCAGTTATTTAAAAAAAAATCTGCATTTTAAAATATTTAGAATAAAGACAAAAGGGATTAGTTTCCTTTTTTTTTCATGTGTTCTGTTATGGCATTGTATGTACGTATACTATAGAGAGAACCTGATTATGCCAGGGAGGGATCTGTCATTAAAATAAAGTAAGCTGACCACATAGTTGCCCTTAAACCATTCAATATGTTTTGATGGCGCACAGGTGTGTGTTAATGTGTGTGGCTAACCAAGAGTGTATGTGTCAAGTGGACATGTGTGAGCAGGTTTTTCACCTGGAGGTGCCTGGTTGTTGAACTTGTTAGTTAGACACAATTTCATGAAAAATCATACATGTTAAGACGAGAATCAAGTCTCCACTGATCCAAGCACCCAGAAGCAAGACCACTGGTCTGCTGGGTAGGTACCAGCCCACCACGGCAGCCAGGATTTTAAGGACTAAGGTAAAGATACCATCCCTCCTGGTGAATAAGTCTTTCAGGGGCCAGGAAGGGGAAGATACCAACCAGATCCAAGCCTAGTCCCTATGGCCAATGGCCAGCGAAGCAGGCCCCAGCAGCCCAGTAAAGAGTACCTTCCCAAGGGGGGCTGCCCTCTGATTATGCCATCACAGACCAAGGAAAATGCTCACTTCGGCCACATCTCCAACCGGCCCTCTCATCCTGCTCACATGCACATTGAAATAGTAAAGATTTAGGTCAGGGACCATTAGGGGTCGCTCTAGAGACCGGGGGAATCTGAGAAAAAAAAAAAAAAAAGTATGTCCAAATCCAAATTTCTGTACAGCAGCAAAGTTGGCATATTGCCTCGCCATTTGCTCTGAATGGGTGTTGCCCTTCACAAAGGGGATTTTTTTCCACCCTTGAACAAATCTGTGCAGACAAAAAATGAGATCCACTGAAAAATTAGGCCAAGCTTTTGTCTGACAGACAAAACTCAGCAGGATCTACATGCTAGAGATAAAGATATCCAGATGGTTTCCCCCCTTTTCCCAAAACCCCCTCTCATGCACACCGCATCTTTCTGCTTACCCCCATAAACAAGAACACCTTTTTTAAGTGCAAAAAGTCCCATTGAGGATTTTCTTTAATAGTGGTAAAATCTTGATGCAAAGAAAACAACTTAACCAAACAAAAAGGTGAAAAAATATTGCTCCTTTTTTCAGAATTTCTTTCATTTTGTTTTTGTAAATTGCAACTTCTTGTCTTATCAGTGAGTCAGCCTGCAGAGTTACAAGGTCACACATTAAAGGATCTTCTCTAGACGCAAATCAGCCAAGTGCTCTGAAATCAACTTTTAAAAAAGGCACACAGACTGATGCATATCATGCATTCCAGGCTGTGTATCAGCATCCTCTGACTAATTAGGGTTTTTTTTCTTTCCACAAACCAAACCTCAACCTCACTGACAAATTAAGACACAATTAATGATTAACACCTCATATGGCAAACATTCCCTCCTCTATTCAAAAACAGATTCATCCCTTACAGCTTGTCAAATACTGTCTTTATGTTCACACCACAAGTCTGTTTCTGCTCCCTTCACCTTAAGAGGGGAAAAACATTTTTGCTCCAACAAATATCTACTAATTTTAATGTGTCAGATTAAACATCAGTTTTAGAGGAACTTGAGAAAATACAAAATATGCAACCTGAATCTAAATTTTTGGTAGCAGATAGTAAAATTAAACTGGTATTTTTGGTAAGAACAATCTTAATTTCACGAACCACTCCCTGCGCCATATATTAGACAAACTTTATTATCATTTTGTATACACAGAGTATACAAAGCGAAATTTCATTTTGTACAGCTCTCATGACCTTTCCATTTCTTGTTCAAATATGGTCAGAAGTCGCTTATCTAACAACAGAAAAAAGACTAAAGATCTGAAAACAACACTTCATGCCTTGATCAATACCCAAACTGATAGGAGATAAACAGAGTGACTGACGTTAGTCTAAAAACCAGTAAGCTGCCCATTTGTAATCCTTTGGGATCCCAGCAACCCCAGTGTGAGCCATTATACAAACATGGAGAAAACAAAACATTCTTTATCTATCACTGGCTTGGCTGATCTAAAATAATCACCTTAAGAGTACAATGACTTTTAGTCATCAGTGCACACAGAAGTGACACACAGAAGCACTTGCAAGCTGGGCACCGTTTCATTCACAACACCTGTCCCATCAACCAGGAATCACAATCAGAAATACTTTAATAATCCCAGGGCGACATTACTTTGGTTACATTTCTCCATCTGTAATAGAGTGACTATAGGACCAGTTAGATACAAAACAGTTTCATACAATATATACAAAATTAGCAGGTCCCCGCTCCATCTCGCCATCAGTTTAGGGGTCCTTGGCCTGGAAAACATTGAAGACCCCTGCTCTAGAACATGGAAGCATTTACGAAATACTAATGTTACATTAAAAAGCAACATTCTGATGACTTTTTAAATCTAGCAGTGCTAACTGTTAAAGCAAGATATAAATTATTTAATCTGAGTTTTATTTATGTATATATAGTAAAACAATAGCCTGTTTGGGAAATAAACTTTTTTTTTTTAAGTGTGGCATGACAACAATGATCCTCTAATCAGTGGAAGAAGCAGAGAAACAAACCGTTTCAATGCTATCTTTATTTTTAATCATGTTAGAGAAAATCATGAATCCACTAAAATCAGAACAAGAAGATCTAAGCTGGTCCAAATATGTCCCCTCTAAACCTTCTAGATCTCATTGTTACAAAGGTTTTATTATTAATGTTCATTTCAATCATTGAGACTACCAATCTAAATATTCAATCTAAACAAAAGCCAAGAGTACATTTTAAAACGCAGTAACTTTAATGTAAAACGGAAGACTTTTTTGACTTTAAGGTTAGGCAGGAAAAAAAAGAACAACTGTAAAAGACACATCAACAGAGATGTAAATGTATATATTTGAAACCTGTTTTAGAATAGCTTATCATTTGTGTAATGAGACTTGTTGATCTACACATGCAAATTTCTCCCTCACAGTCTCCAACACTTAGAGTAGGATTGAGTGCAGGTCTGTTCTGATGCATTTCCTGCTAAATGTACTTTACTGCATCAGTGACTGGGAGAAGGGGTGAACTGCTGTATCGATGAAATTCAATCAGTGCACGGCGGAGCATGGAGGATCGCGTTACATGGGAGTAACCCTGCGATCCATAAACAAACCCCAGAACAGGAAGCTGCTATGAAGGGCAAAGCTTTGAAGGCTACTGCACACAGCACTGGAATTTCATTCATTATTATATTACATTATATATATTACTAATAGCTAGAACTTAGTGAATTCAAGTGACGTTATAAAAATTAGTAGATATCAGAAACATACCGGTAAACGTGTGCAAAGCTGCATGACTGTTTGGATCAAATATTTATTGAAAAATCAGAATTTAACTCCCACCAATACAAAATCTTCCTGCCTGCCATATTTGTACCTCTTATAACTATTCTTTAAGTGTCCTCGGCACCCCCAACCGATGCATGTTTTTAGTAGATGCTTAGACCCAGGAGGCAAGTTGGAAACATTGTTAGGATTCCATCATTACAAATCCACAGTAATGACATTGTATTTATACGCTTTCCTAAATTTGTGCAGCCCTAATGGACTTCATGTAGGACTTTGCTTTGTGGTTGTGGGGCAAACATGCTTCCTAAAGACCAAAAACCTTTGGCTTATAGGTAGATTAGGTTCTCTTGAGAAACCTCTGTATTTATACTGCTATAGGCTTTGTTTCCTGGACTTATTGACCACATTTCCCTGTCTGCTACTTTCTCTCCATTTGCATTTATTAGCAGCATAAACTGAGTTTATGTTGCTTTCCAGGCCTTACAAGCTAGCCCTCGCTCACTTCCCCAGTGTTTGCTCTAGTTTTCTTCCGGGACAAAGAAATTGACACAAATATTTCCTTCATCATCTATGTGAACCGTTTTTTTGGTCGCCCCGAATAGAAAACGGTTCAAAAATGGTCACCGCATCTGTGCTAAACCAGTTATGAAAAAATAAACAAATTGCTAACTGTTGCTAAATATTAAGCCAAAACACAAGCTGTTTCTTTTCCTTTGGGGTAAAATGGAGGAATGGAGAGTTAAAATTTGGTTTGAAAGACAGACCAAGTTTCCCTTTGTATATATGGACTTTTTATATATATTCATCTAAACGGATTACATTTGCAATCACTCTATGTCTTAAGGAGACTGATTTACACCTGAAAAGGTTAATTATGAGGTTTCCCATATGATTTTGTTCCATACAATCTTAAAATAACAAGAAATAAACAAACATCTAAAAGTTGGATGAGTTTTGATGAGGATAAGTATAAAAAAATATTAAAAAAACCAGATTTTCTATCAAATCATTATCAGATTTTGAGCCTGATTCAGCTAACTCTCACTCCCAGAGTTCATTGAAAGTGGTGTCACGCTCTAAAGTATGTATTTTTCCTTTCCAATAAAGTATCCACGGCTCAGGGATCCTAAGTTTATTTGTGTTTCTTTCCTGGAAGGAGTAATTGACAGTTATTACCTTTGAACAAACCCAGAAAGTGCTCCTAGTTCAACAATTCTGTATGGCTGTATCTTTCCTGAAGGAAGTCGCTGCAGAAGAAATTGCTGCCATTGAGTCAGTGTACTCAATGGCCAATGACCGGCTTATCAGATTGTCAAAAATTTTATAAAGAGTAAAAATGTTGCTAGTGTGAGCGACAAACATGGATTCTTAATTAGAGGAAATAAATTAAACTTGAAAATTTTTAAAATATTTTGTCTTGTTGGGGGCTTAACATTAAAGCATCACATTTCTTATAAACAATATAATACCATTTACAAAATTGCTGATATATCCAGCAGTGTGTGCAGGAGATGCTGCAACAAAAATACTGCATGCTGGATAAGAAAGCTGTTGCTCCACCAACATTGTCTCTTTGTTTCCTCACACTTGGGAGTTTTGCAACAACATTAGAGAAGCACAGACTCCAAGCCCTTGTGTCCCATCACCCTCCTGCTGTACAGGCCTGCTTCCATTGTCCTCAAAAAAAACAATGAAACTAGTGTCCACTCCAATATTCAGGGGCCAACATACACAGACCACCAGCACATCTAGCCACATTTCAAAACTGCAAACCATTCTATAAGAGTCAAACCTTGCTTGTTAGGCCCATTAAGTGTGTTAGAAAATAGAAATGTCTAAGTTATAGACTTAACTTAGGTTTATAGTCTTTAAACTGAAAATAGCATGTATTATTTGTGCAAATTGGAAGATAACAGCAGCAGTTAGCTATTTAGCTGCGCTCTGCTCATATTTCCAAACAGCTAAAATAGTTTTAGATGTTTTCCTCTGACAGCAGAGGCTTCCTGACCACTGGAAATTTCCTCTGCAGGGCTGATTGGCTGCTTTGTAAACATGATAGTCAAGAAACAATCCGGGGAACAGAAAATTGGGAATTTTCCCATTCCATAAACTAGCAAAGATGGAATAAAAGGCTAAAATTAGGAATGTACAGTCATAAAATAAAACTGTGAATAAATAAATAAGCATTATTGGTGAAACCGGAGAGATAGATGCCTTAACTTGTCCTATCTGTCCAGTGTGTTTAAATCAATTCAGTATAAAAACATCTGAGAGGTGAAGGCGACACGCTGCTAACGTTTCCTCTCATGGCTAACAGGCTCCATGCCGTGAAGATGGCAGTCCATAGAGACGACTACACACACGTATTTTATTCTAGAAACGGTTATTAAAACCATGCTCGCCTTCCAGTTATGTTTTATACTCTCTTTGACCTCCATGAGAGCATTTTTGACGGAGAGTCAACGCTTTCCGTTATTTAATCACAAGACCAGATTCTTGCTAACACTAAATGAAAAGGCCAGTACAGTTACATGGCCCTGTGCTAAAACATGCGGCAAACATAACATATTTGGTTAAAAATTCTTTTGTTTTTCTGAAAAACTTACCTAAGCTGTACTCCCGTCAATCGCCACTGACTTTGAAGTGGGAAAACACAACGGAAATTATGTTTCACGAAGACCCTCCCTTTCCATACTGATTTTATCCAATCAGCAACTTAGGAAACTGAAGCCGAACCAATCAGAACTACGGAACAAGACCGAGCAGTGATGTCCCGCCCATATACGTTATAGACCGACGGTAGATCCAAGGAGATGTGGAGGCAGTTGGAATGATTGCCACCTAAATGTAATTGAACTTTAACCGGACAGCACTCCGGAGCTCAGAAATCCCACTGTATAGATAGCAGTCATTTTTCCCTTATACAAAAGCAACAAAAAAGACTGTCAACCAGCTTTATTTTTTTTTCATTTCTCTTTTTTTCATCTGAATCTGCCATTTAATAGCACTTCTTTCTTTTTCCATTTTTTTTTTTTTTTGAGCAGGCTCACTATTAAAACTGTGCTTATTTCACATTATTTAGCCTTGTGTGCACCTTAAATTTTTCTTTACACCATTTTTGCCACCGTCACACCTGAAATTCTCCACTGCGGGACAATATTTATGACTTATCCGATCTATCCCACTATAAATAAGGCTAGCGCGCCTCCTTGTGGACACAGCTTCGACTTTTGTGTGCATTTCTATTTCAGCCAGGTTATATTAGACCCACTGCGGGAAGGGATTAGGGCCACTGAAAAGGTAAAGAAAAAAGTTGACTGATTTTTAAATATTATTTCAGTTTAATATGGAAAAAAAAAATCAGGATTCTGACTTTAATTTCAAAATTCTGACTTTAATCTCAGAATTCTGATTTTAATCTCAGAATTCTGACTAAATTCTGACAGCTAACAGCTGTATTAGAGATTAGCTGTCTTTTTTTAATTCTCCTCCATTAATGGAATAGAATCACCAGGGACCCTTCGGGCACGTAAAAAGTTGCCTAATTGTGTCATTTTCCACCAATGTGTTACTGGCCCTCCCAAACAACTCACATCTTTGTCAGTGAAGCTGATTGGTCCCACATCTCTTCCTTCATGGTGCCCATCTATATTAATATCCAAAATTCTGAGATTAAAGCCAGAATTCTAAGAAAAAAGG